AAAAAAAAAAAAAAAAAAAAAAAATTTCAGTATCACAAATATAAAATACAGGTTTTTCACTGTAGGGTCAAAATTCAATTACAAATCCAAAAGGGGGAATCTTTCCCTGTAAAATTCACACCTCATAATGTTGTAGGCAGCTAAATGAGATAGAAATATTATAGGCAGTCAGATAGGACAAGGCCCTCAAGGAGACAACATTAAAGACAAGATACGTTGCAACTGTGAGAGAAATAGATGCTCCTGCTGTGGGTCATACCTAGAGACCAAAGATTGAACAAATGCTTGCCTCCCTAAAGATAAGCACCTAGGATTGATCATCATCCTGAGAAAGCCAGGAAGAGTCACTAATCCAACTGCTACTGGCTGGCTACTAGATAAACTCCCATCCTATATTCATACCCTTTTGCTACGTGACTTGCTTCTCCTTTTGATCCTGGACTTAATCAATTTTACCAGAGCAATGGTGCTTGTAATCTCATTGGTTGACCATAGTCTTGTCCCACCTCATGCCCACCTAAGCGAGTTCCATCTTAGGCCTGCCTCAGTGCATGATTTTATAGAAGTCTCTAGAAGAGACAGCTTCCTGGGGACAACCTGCTTGGGCCCCCCTTCTGTCCCTCTCAGACATAAGCTTTCTTTCCCCCAATAAATATTCTGCTCTTAACCTCCTTTTGTTTCTAAAATTCATTCTTCAGTTTTAGAGAACACGAACTCATCCCAGGTACCTTTCAGGTTGGGAGTTTCATTTCCCCTATATCAATAATAGACTTCACTTGACAGCATGTACTGTTAAATTTTTAAAATTATACAAAACTTGAAAGTACAACAGCAAAAAGACAATTCCATCAAGTAAGAGAAAAAAGGCTAGGAAGGGTCCTTTGGAGAGCTCTCCATACTGGACAGTGGAAGGGACCCAGTCTACTAATAATCTGGGGCAGAGGATATACTTGTGTTTTTCTAGAGAATGCTAAAAGACCTATTTGGTTATCATGGCATGTTGTCAGGCTTTAGCATGAAGCCAGCTCTAGAAAAGAAATTAACAGTGATGTGGCTTGATACAACCTGGGGCTATTAAAGGAATTGACCAAATGGAAATCTAAGGTCTAATTGGTGATAAAATATATAAAAATAAATGACCTAATTTTAATAATATTAAGACAGAAAGTACAAAAATACAAAATATGCTCACTAATTAGAAATTAAAGGTTTTATTCCTTCCAAATTTTTATGATGAGATCTCTGCTAATTGACAACAAAATCTGCCTAGTCTTTTTATAATTATAAATCTCTAAAAATTGTAATAGTCACTATAATTTAATTTGGACAAAAATATATTCAAGTGCACTCTTGATTTTCTAAAGATGTTTGTGTGTTCTGTGTATTTGTCTATGTGTTTGTGTGTCATTCTGTAAACAGATGTTCCTCTCTTTTCTTTTTTGATCATTTGTCCATTAATACAATTTGGGATATAGACTTAAAAACATGCTCTTTCCTAAGTTACAACATGACTTAAGTGATATCAAAATTGGTTTAATCACAGGCCGTCAAAAACTTTAAGATAAAGGCCGGGCAGATGGTTCAGTAGAATAAGCTTTTCCCTGGCAAG